AAACTTAGCTTCCCACTGTCAGTGGCACCATGCTAGCCCCCATGCACCATAATGTCTCACAAGATCTCTCACTTATTCCGTAAGACAAGGAAGGATTCTGCTGAGAGGCATTTCTGTGTTTATTTCATAAAAGCTGAGCCGTGGCATCGAAAAGAGACGCCAAGTCCGAGGCAGACCACAACCCACAGAGAATAGGTTGGATCAAGAAAACAGACTCACAAAAAAGGAAGAAGATAACAAAAAGGATGAAAAATCTCAACCTAGTGTATATGCCTGGCCAATTAGCTTTTTATTTCCTAAAGTTTCCAGGGGCTTCAGTAAAGGAATATTTAAATAAGCACTTCATATAAAGTTGTGACTGTATAGCAAGATAGCACTTCCTACAAGGCACGAATTCTTGCTCCAGACAAGGCTACTAGATGTACCACCTGAGCACAACAGAACAAAAAAACATTTTCAATAAATACTTTTCTCCCCCACACACCCCTTGATCATATAGGTAGAAACTAATTCAGAAAAGTCTAATACCTTTGAGGGGTCTTGAGTATGCCTGAGTTGTTCTTTCAGTTTTAAGACTTTTCACAAAACACCCTCAGGAGCTGCCATCCCAAGCAAAGCCCCTGGGCAAAACCTAGAGAGTCCAGCTGAGGAAGCACATCTTATTGGAGTCGGGCTTACTCCAGCTGAGGCCTCTTATGGCTGACCATTTACCGCTCTAAGCCTCTCTCCTTTAATTTTGGGGTAAAAGACATAAAGGGGAGACTCTAGGTAAAGCATTTCTGCTTCTTACTTACCAGTTAAGCTATACAACCCAGACAAGCCACCCCTTCCACCAATCCTCAGGAGATATCTCCCTGGGAAGTTTGTTGGCTTACAGAGAAAGACTATTGAGTCAACTATGTGCCTGGTATCTAGAAACAGTTAAATAGAAGTGAAAGATTGCTTCCCCACTCCCTTCTCATACCTTTCACCTCATTCTTTCCAAGTTTTTTTTAAACAGCTTTTCAGGCCTAAGTAGTGGTTTCTTTGCATATCTAGAAAGTTTTTGTATGCTCAGAAGGCCTTTGGCCATTGTTATGTTTTGGGGCCCTCTGACTCCAAAGCTACATCCTTGACTGGGCCTGTTTTTAGCTATCACTTTATTATTGTATTAGTGTCTTGCTTAATATCATTGTCTGAGGAATGTCATTGGTAAATAGAACAGATTCTTGTTGTATTTTCCAATAATGTGAGACTTCCAGACTGTAATGCAGTTTATTTCTGGATTTGTAGTAAATAAATAATATTTGTAGAACTAATGACAAAATAGAATGGTGTAAGAACTGCTATATAGAATCATAGAATGTTAGGGTTGGAAGGGACCTTGCAGGTCATCTAGTCCAACCCCCTGCACTCTGCAGGAGCATAGCTGAAAGATAGCTCTACATACCTACAACATACCCGAAAGATGGTCGTCTAGCCTCCACTTGAAAACGTCCAGAGAAGGAGCATCCACCACCTCCCGAGGCAGACTGTTCCACTGTTCAACCACTCTTACAGTTAGGAAGTTTCTCCTGATATTTAGCCGGTAACGACTCCCTTGTAATTTCTACCCATTAGATCTAGTCTTGCAATCTGGAGCAAGAGAGAATAGATCTGCTCCATCTTCTACATGACAGCCCTTCAAATACTTCAAGACTGCAATCATGTCCCCTCTAAATCTTCTCTTTGGAGTAAGAGCTGAGTCAGCTGGGCTGAGGCAAGGAGTGGAGAGCACGTGGTGTAGACCTGCCAAATCATGGCGGAGGATCTGCATGTCTTCACAGAATCCTTGCCACGGGGACGGCAAGATGCGTTGCACTGCCGTCGCCAGGACATGATGCTATGCGTCGCTCTGGCAACAGGACTGTTTGGAACCCCGTTGCCAGAGTGACGCATAGCGTCAGATCCTGGAGAGGGCAGGTGCAACGTGTCTCGCTGTCCCCACAGCAAGGATTCTGTGAAGAGCTACGATCCCCTGCCGTGACTTGGCAACTCTAACGTGGTGGGTTGCTGATAGAAGGTAGGAGATTTTTCTTTCTCCCTTTGCCTTCCTAGCTGCTGTGTGGGAGCTGAGAGAGAGTTGGGTTCTTTGTAACCTGATAGAGAGTGGTTCTGTTTAAGTCTGTTTGGGGCTGTTTGTGCTTTGGGGGTTGTTGGAGGCTGAGTGAGTTGCTGTGGAGTGCTGTTGATTGCATGAAAATAAACTGGCAGGGCATTATGGGTACCTGAATACAAAAAGCAGGCTCGAATATGTAGGGATGGTGTCAGAAAGGCTAAAGCGCAGATGGAGCTGAGGCTTGCGAGGGATGCTAAAAACAAGAAAAATTTCTATGCCTATGTTCTGAGCAAAAAGAAGAACAGGGATGGATTAAGCTCATTGCTAGGGGAAGATGGTCAAGCCTTACCAAGGGATGAAGATGAAGCGAAATTACTCAACTCTCACTTTGCATCAGTCTTTAACCGTAAGGTGAGCTGTATGCAAACTGAAGAATACAGGGCATATGAAGGAAGGAGAAATTTCCAGTCCAGAGTAAGTAAGGAAATGGTTAGAGAGCATCTAGCTGCCTTAAATACTTTCAAATCTCCAGGGCCAGATGGTTTGCACTCCAGGGTGCTAAAAGAAATTGGAGATGTTATTTCAGAGCCTCTGGCTCTAATCTTTGAGATGTCCTGGAGTACTGGTATTGTGCTGGAAGACTGGAAAAGACCAAATGTTGTCCCTATCTTCAAGAAGGGAAAAAAGACAGCCCCGGGAAATTACAGGCCTGTCAGTTTGACATCAATACCTGGGAAAACTCTGGAGCAGATTATTAAATGCTCTGTCTGTGAGCACTTTGAACGGAATGAGTTAATTGGTAGTAGCCAGCATGGGTTTATCAAGAATAAGTCATGCCAGACCAACCTTATATCCTTTTTTGACAGAGTTACCAAAATGGTTGACTCTGGCAATGCTGTGGACATAGTGTATCTAGATTTCAGTAAAGCATTCGACAAAGTTTCTCATGATATCCTTGAGGATAAGCTGGTTAAGTTTGGGCTGGATGATGCAACTGTTGGATGGATTCATGGTTGGTTGAAAAATTGTACCCAACGAGTGCTCGTAAATGGCTCTGCATCTACGTGGAGAGAAGTCTCAAGTGGAGTGCCGCAGGGCTCAGTCCTAGGCCCGGTGTTGTTCAATGTTTTTTATAAATGACCTGGAGAAAGACATAGAGGGGATGCTTATCAAATTTGCAGATGACACGAAGTTAGGTGGGATTGCTAATTCTGAAGAAGACAGAGTCAGGATTCAAAATGATCTAGGTAGGCTGGAACAGTGGGCTGAGACAAATAAAATGAATTTCAATTGAGATAAATGCAAAGTCCTACACTTAGTTACAAAAAATCAAAGGCACAGATATAGAATGGGAGGGACTTGGCTTGACAGCAGCACAAGTGAAAGGGATCTAGGTGTTCTGGTTGACCACAAGCTAAACATGAGCCTGCCGTGCGATGTGGCTGTGAAGAAAGTTAATGCAATCTAAGGATGCATTAACGGAAGCATTGTGTCCAGATCACGGGAGGTGGTAGTTCCACTCTATTCTGCTATGGTCAGGCCCCACCTGGAGTACTGTGTCCAGTTTTGGGCACCACATTTTAGGAAGGATGTTGACAAGCTCGAGCGTGTCCAGAAGAGGGCAACCAGGATGGTGAGAGGGTTGGAATCCAAGGAATCCCATTAAAAGGAGTTTAGTGGTTGTTGCCAATGACCCCTTTGAGACTAACATTATTCCCTTTTGTTTTCCAATGTCAGGTGTTTCAACTGTCCACACTGATCAGGAAGATTCCTCATTTCTGATACCTGGCCCTGGTAAGCCCTGTTTGTTCTATTGAGGAAATCTTGTGAGTTCCTTTTTTAAACAAAAAAAAAATGTTGGTGGGCACACCAATAAGTTTATGATCCTCCCCTTCAGATATGGGGGAGAAGCAGATACACAAGGTCTAAACATGATTCATTTATCCTGCAGTAGCTTTTGAGGGAGATGTGTTAGTAACCTGACCAGAACTATTTTTTCCCAGTTTTCTAACATATCTGCTTCAAAAGTCAGTGGAGGACAAGCTATTGAATGAATGACTGTAGCTTCATGGCTCAAGAAAAAGCCTTCCCCTCTGTGTAAAAATGAGTGATGTGTGTTTGTGTTGTCAGTACACATGGCTATATTTTCTGCTATGAAAGGCTGGCAGTAGGCAGTCTCCCCTAATAAATGTGGGACACAACACATGTCCTTCCCTGCAGATATTATGTTTATAATAGCAGTAACTCTCCAGAACAAAAAGGCACCTGACGAAAACATGCTGGAATCATTTGGCCTTCTCTGTTGTCTCATGCACACCAAGAACCTGGCCAGTTTTCTACGCTTTGTGGGCAATTACAGAAAACCAGAGGCAGAGCTGTTTTCCCATATCATCTTTTTAAAGCAATACATCTTGGATGAATAGGCAATTGGGTCCATCTCTGGACCCAGCAGAAAACACTGAGCCCCATGCCATAGCCCAAATGACTGGTCCCTACTCCTGGCTACCTGCTTGTAAGTTCCATCACAGGCCCCATAAATCATCCAGACATTTTTATTCCAAGAGTTGGTTTCAAGAACTGCTGTCCCTATTTAGCATATATCTTATGCACAGTTTTAATGCTGCCTCTTACTAATGCATTTAAAACACTTTTTCAACCTATAGTTTTGATAACTGGGCCTTTTAAACTGTTTTATAAGACTTTGTGCTGCTATTATGCTGGGTATTTGTATATTAGTGGGTTTTCTTCAGCAGCAGTAGGAAGGGTGTAATTCCTAGGCATTTGCCCCCTTATTTTATTTGTCTGACTCCAGTTAAATTTACTTGAGAATCTAGCCAACAAGCCACAGGAAACATAAACCACACTGGGTAGAAGGGAGAGATGGGAGGAGGGATCATTTTAAGATTCTCCAGAGCGCAGACTCCAGTCTCTCTCATCCACAGTGGCAGCAGGGTCACATTAGAAACTGCTATTGCTGAGACTTTCTCAGGTGAATTCTGCACTATTTTGCCCCCTTGTCCTTACTTGTTCTTCTCAAGAGATATTCTCATACACATTGCACTGAGCAGTCCTGGGAAGACTCTTTCCTGAGAAGGGTAAGGCGATTCTAATTGTGTTCTTATTGGGTGGTTCTCTGTTAGCGTTCCTAGGGAAGGGAGTTATGTAGAGTGCCAAAATGTTGTTTAACATGAATTTCCTCCAGGCATTGACATTCAGTATGACTGGCTATATCTTTGAAAAGGCCCCAGTTAGCTCAGATTGTGCTTTAATGATGTATTTCCCCATGCATTTTTCTGCAGTTTAACTTCGTGGAATATTTAAAGAGATCTGTCTCCTGACTGCCCATTAGGCATTCCCCCTTGGGGGAATCTGGGTGAATGAAAGTGTGAATGGAAAAAACAGAAACCTTAAAAATATATATATAAAACAGATATTAAAAATATTAAGTTGCAGAATACCATTGGGGAGCAATATGGGGTATAAATATCTAACTAAAATATATAGAACATACGGTGAGCTTTAAATATATACAGGGCAAACTAGTGATATTTAAAGCCCCTTATATTTGCCAATGAGACATCAGGTTATCTAACAAAGAGGTTGAACTGAATAGCATCCAAAGTACCTTAACCTTTTCTCAGTCTGTAAACAGTGAAATACGTAATACTTTTTTGTAGCTAAATGGGGAAATTGTTGCAAATGTACACTAGGAACAAAAAGCAACAAATGCAAAGTGAGTGTGTCTTAAAATGGCAAGTGGGTTTGAGGCCAGAGAGCATGGCTATTCTTGGAAATGACTCTGACAGATTTCAACAGATGCAGCTCCAGGAATGCAGCTGGGAGGGGGGGAATGGAAGCAGCTGACCCACCATTTTGGCAAAGCGACATTCTGGGATCTCAGCTCCTTCTGGCATGTGGTAACACTGACACTTCTAGCACACGTGGTCTCCATTCGCTCTTGCCTATCGTTATTACCTACTAGGAGCCAGGGATGGGACACTGGAAACCGTACTTCTTCAGGAGGATCTAGTCACTCCTTTCTGTATTGGAAAGGCTGCATACTACATTCTTTGAATGTTTTAACAAGAAAACAGTAGTGAAGATTTGGCTACATTATATGCCATTTTAAAGTAAATAAGGGAGAGAAATCCTAAGCAGCAGATTTACTCAGAAGTACCATGTTACTCAGTGGTTCTTGCTCCCAGGAAAGGATTCTGACGATTGCAGCCTCACACCTTTAATTTGCCACTAGGCAGCATGCTAACTTGGAGTTTATGCCTGGTCATCCAGGTTGTAGATGAGCTGTGGGCAACATATAGGATCTTGCTTTCTACCACTTGCTTAAGAAGATGGTTGTAAGACCAATGTGGACTACAGAGCTGACACAGGGAGAATCCCATGGGATGTATTTTCTAGGAATGCTTACTATTCTTCTAATTAGGTGATGGGATCAGGTTGGATCCTGGACCTACCTTGGTGAGATTTTGAATCAGGAATAATTTAGTGAAAGCAGAATTTGAAACTGTATAATGCTTTGGAAATCAGTCTGTATAGTGTTCTCTGTTGATTCTTTCCCCACTCCCCTTCCACAAAAGTAGTTTGGTTTCGTCACTGGCTACTCTGCTTAAGTCTATATGGACCTGGGCCTAATATTCTTTCTGTTCCTTACCTACCACAAAGACCTAAAGGGATGCTCAGTGCATGTGAATGGATAGTGAACATGTTCGGTCTCTGCACATGATCCTATTCCTCATGGCTTTCATCACAAGCTGACTGAATAAAATGTATTATGAATATCTGGATCAAATGGTCTCAGAAGCTCCTGGACTTCAGGAGTTATGCTAAAATCACCTCATGGGTTTCACCCAGGAAGTTTCACTGTGACCTTGGGAGCAAGTGACATACTCTCAGCTGAATGTACCTCACAGGATTGCTGGGAGGATAAAATGGGGAAGGGAGAACCATGCACACTGCCTGGGCTTCTTGGAAGATGGGTGATACTTAAAAAGAAAGAAGATGAATAATAACCAGTGTAACATAAATATTTTCTTGAAAATTAATGCTTGTTGCTCTGAGTTCCAACTATATCTTTCTCCTTTTCCTCTCCCAAATCAATACTTGTAAGATATGTCCAAAGTGATATGTGCACAGTTGTTTACTTATTCTTTGAATCAGGTAAAATTTTGAGTGGCTTGAAAGAAAGACGTCACAGGTTGTAAACACCAAATTGATATAACAGAAATATCTGAACCCAACTGTTCAGGGGCTATATGTATCAGCAATGCCCAGATACCCCTAATAAATATAATCTCTGTAAATATACACACAAAATTACAATGAATCACACATGTCATCATGGGAATAAGATACAATTAAACAGAACAATAAGCTATGCCATGTACTGAGAGAGGGAACTGGAGTCCAGGGGTCTGCCTTGCATTGGCTTGCCTCCTTCCTTCAGGGTCACGGGCAAAGGGTGGCACTAGGGGAACAGCTATCCCAAAGGCACCCACTGATCTGTGGAGTGCCCCAAGGGGCAGTGCTTTCCCCGATGCTATTCAATATCTATATGCGCCCCCTTGCCCAGATTGCCCGGAGGCATGGGCTGGGATGTAACCAGTATGCTGACAACACCCAGCTCTATCTGTTGTTGCGTGGCCAGTCTGACTGTAAACCGGAAGATCTGGACCTGGTGTTACAAGCTGTGGTTGGATGGCTTAGACTGAGACAACTGAAATTGAATCCAATGGAGATGGAGATCCTATGCCTGAGCCGAGGCAGTCCGGGGTTAGGGATCCCACTCCCGACCTACGATGGGGCCCTGTTGATGCCAGCACCAGAGGTTAGGAGTTTGGGAGTGCTCCTGGATGCCTCCTTAATAATGGAGGCCTAGGTAGCAGCCACTGCCAAGTCAGCCTTTTACCACCTGCGGCTGCTTAGGCAGTTGGTTCTCTTCCTCAAATGCAGCGACTTGGCAACAGTGATCCATGCGATGGTCACCTTGAGATTAGACTACTGTAATGCCCTCTACATGGGGCTGCCCCTGACCCAAATATGGAAGCTACAGCTATTGCAAAATGCTGCATGCGGGAGCACATCCAGTCTGTGCTGAAAGCACTGCACTGGCTACCAATAGCATAATGAATTCACTTCAAGGTGTTGGTTTGGCTTGTAACACGGCTTGTAACACCTTTAAAGCCCTTTATGGTCAGGGGCCTACATACCTGAGGAACCGCCTTTCCCCACATGTTCCCCAGAGAGCACTGCAGCCAGGGTCTCAAAATTGACTGTCCCTTGCAGGTCCCAAAGATGCCAGGCTGGCTACAACCATGGCTAGGGCCTTCTTAGTGGTGGCTCCATACTGGTGGAACGAGCTCCCAGAAGACACCAGGGCCCTGCGGGACCTCTTACAGTTCCGCAGGGCCTGCAAGACAGAGTTCTTCCACCAGGCCTTCATCTAAGGAGCCACATCTAACAACTGAACTGTGATTAGGCCCTATCACCCTGGACTACCAGCAGTGTCAGAAACTTGGTTAAATCAGTTCTCAACAACAGCCAGTCTGAAGAAAACTAACTTTATTGAGATAGTTGATAGATAGATACCATTCTGGACACTTCTTTGTTAGAACTAAAGATTAGTGTGTGAAGGTTACAGATATAGTGGTTTCAAACAGCAGCAATAAAAGGTCAGGACCCAATCACCCCACTGTATTTTACCCGCCAGAACTAACAGCCAACTACCCCCCACACTAAACACGTATTCCTCTCGGAGCATCCCTCCCACCCAAACTAACAGTTGCTTATCCCCCCCCTCCAGACACGTAGCCTCTATCTACCAAGAAAACAGAATAACAAACAAGTAAGACGCTGGGACATTTGGCTCCACTATGGTGTCAAACTTCTGATACATCAAAGAGAGGGGGACCCCCCTTCTCCATGGCAGGCGAGCTGTAAAATTCGCAGAGAGCCTGACATTATGCCCCTCCCAAGATCTCTCACCCCTTTGGCTTATGGGGGTATTTGTTATGGAATGCACGGATGAGCGAAGGAGCGCTAACATGTTCACACTGCACCCGCTCATTTTGCGATTCATCAAAGTCCCTCCATTTAAGTAGATAGTACAATCGGTTGCACATCAACTTAGAATCAAGGATTTTCTCAACAACTTGGTGGGGTTCACCATCCACAATTTGAGGAGGTGGAGCAGCTGGACAAGGTCTCCATTTGTTCTGTCCTGGATCCCGTTTCAGTAGACTGAAATGAAAGACAGAGTGAATATGACACAGATTTTTAGGTAAATCAAGTTCCACCACCACTTTGTTCTAGACTCTCACCACCTTGAAAGGGCCAATATACTTCCACCCCGGCTGGAGCCCCTTTATATTTTTTGTAGAGAGGTACACTGAGTCCCCAGGGTACACTGAGTCGCCTGCTTGGAAAACATATAGACCACAACCCAAATCACTGTTTTCCCTTTACTAGGAGGTAAGTCAGTTATAAAATCCATCGAAATCACTGCCCATGGTCTCTCTGGCATTTCAAGGGGTTGCAGAGTTCCTGGGGGCTTTCCCAGTCTTCGTTTCCTCATTAGGCAAGTCTAGCAAGAACTCACAAATTGGGGAATGTCTGCCCTCATACATGGCCACCAGAACTGTCTTTGAAGGAAGTGCAGAGTTTTCAGGTACCCATAATGCCCTGCCAGTTTATTTTCATGCCCCAAAGTCAGGATTTCCCCCCTCAGTGCTTTAGGTACGAACAATCTCCCACCCCTGTACCAACAACTATCTCCCTTCTGCTCCACTGAATTGTCACCGTGAATTTCTTCCATGTCCCCCTCTGTAAACACTGTTTTAAATTTGCAAACCCAAGGCTCAGCGTCACTAAGAGACTCTGCTGTCGCCCAGCTGCGAGTCATCACTGCCCCCCCCCAAAATGGGTGGGTGTGAACATGGAGTCTATGACTTCCTCCCTCCGACTGTCATGCTGCAGGAGATGGGAGAGTGCATCTGCCAGGGAGTTAGTCTTCCCGGGGAGATGATGGAGGGTAAACTGGAATTTAGAGAAAAACTCCACCCATCACAGCTGCTTGGCGTTAAGGTGCCAGGGCGTGCGTAAGGCTTCCAGGTTTTTGTGATCTGTCCACACTTCAAACGGCACCCTTGCTCCTTCCAACCAGTGCCTCCAGGTCATAAGGGCCAGCTTCATGGCCGCTGCCTCCTTGTCCCAAACCGCCCAGTTACGCTCCGTAGGGGAGAACTTTTTTGACACATATGCCAAGGGGTGGGGCATTCCATCCTCCCCTTTCTGCAGGATTGCACCCCCCCCATCGCCACATCAGAGGCATCGACGTGAATCACAAATGGCTTGTTTTCATTAGGATGGGGTAAATTGGGCTCGGAAGTAAACAGCTCCTTGAGCCTTTCGAAAGCCTGCTGGCACTCCAGGGTTCAGTCCAGCTTGGCGCCAGGCTTTACTACCTTCGGGTCCCTTCCCCTTCATTTTTAACAAATCAGTAAGTGGTAAGACTACCTGAGTGAAGTTGGGGAGGAATGCGTGGTAAAAATTGGCGAATCCGAGAAAACCTTGAAGCTGGTGCCAGGTTTGAGGATCCCCCCCACTCCACCATGGCTTGCACCTTACTGGGATCCATGTTCAGTCCTTTCCCCGAAATTCAATATCCCAGGAAGTCCAGCTCTTCCTTATGAAACTCACACTTGGAAAGCTTGACAAAGAGCCAGTGCTCCTAAAGTGTACTGAGCACATCCCTGACCAACTTAACATGCACATCTTTATCTTTCGAGTAAAGAAGGATATCATCTAGGTAAACTAGCGCCCCCTTGAATAAATCCTTGTGCAACACTCATAAAGACCCCAGGTGCCCCCCTCAATCCAAAAGGCATCACAAGGTATTCAAACTGTCCCAACAGGGTATTAAAAGCTGTTTTGTGCTCATCCCCCTTCCAAATGCGCACTCTGTAGTAAGCGTCCCACAAGTCAAGTTTGGTGAAGATGCGCCCCTGGGAAGCCTCTGACAGGAGGTCCTTGATGAGCGGGAGAGGGTATGTGCAGGATGTGGACACTGCATTTGATGTGGACACTGCATTTGATGTGGACACTGCATTTGACCCCCAATAGTCTGTTCACAACCGCAACCCCCCGTCTTTTTTCTTACGGAAGAGGATGGGAGTAGAAAAGGGGGAAGAGGCCGGGCAGATGAATCCTCACACCAGGTTTTTGTCCATAAACCGACGCAGCTCCTCTTTCTTGGCTGGGCTCATGGCATACAGCTTTCCTTTAGGCATTTGGTGCCCAGGTAAAATCTCAATAGCACAGTCTGACTTTCTGTGGGGGGGGGAGTTCATCAGCTTCCTCCTCTTCGAACACTCTCGCCATTCTGGACACTTCTTTGTTAGAACTAAAGATTAGCATGCGAAGGTTACAGATATAGTGGTTTCAAACAGCAGCAATAAAAGGTAAGGACCCAATCACCCCACGGTATTTTACCTGCCAGAACTAATAGGACCCCCCTTCTCCATGGCAGGCGAGCTGTAAAATTCACAGCCTGTGCTTGCCGCATAAATAGATCCCCAATTGAATATTCTAACATGATAGTTTTGCCATCTCTATGTGATGCTATTATTAGAAGTTTGTTGTTACAAGCACTTTATGATTGTCTGGATTTTATTACTGTTTATCATTGTTATTTTATCTTTATCTGACTTTATCTCATCTGAGTTTTATGTTTATACACAATGACATATTATAACAAGTGGTGAATTTATGTTTTGTAGTTCCCTCCCGTTCCTGGTCTTTGAGTGCTTCAGGGACATGGGGAGGGAATAGCTCACAAGGGATAGGAGAGTCAGATAGGGCGCCAGCCATGATGTAAACCATTGCTGTCCTCAACCAAACACCTGATGGAACATCTCTGCCTTACAGGCCCTGTGGAATTGCATAAGATCCCGCAGGGCCCTGATGTTATTAGGCAGAGAGTTTCACCAGGTCGGGGCCAGGGCCAAGAAGTCCCTAGCCCTGGTTGAGGACAGCTGGATCTCTCTAGGCCCGGGGACCACCAGTAAGTTATTCTGTGAATAACGTAGTGCTCTCCTATGGGTATTCCAAGTCAATTGATGTTCTAGGCTTAGATCAGCGTAACTTTGCTTAGGATTCCTCTGTAATAGGCACACCAGAATTCCTAAGCCTGTCTACTGGGAACAAACATTCTCTTTGAACCCAATCAGAATTCCAAGTAAGCAACGAGAAGATCAATACATCCTTGCCTCATTTCATTTATACAGCAACTCTGTGAATTACATTAATCTGACATTCAGTTGTATCCAGCTACCATTTAAGCTCAGCCTTACCAAGGGCTGAGCAAGGATTTGATGTGAGACATAGGGTGGATGAAATCAACCATTTACTGAGTTATAACCAACCACCTATAATGTGAAAAAAAGTAGTAAAATTATGTTCTATGTCCTGCCCTTGTTCTATATTGCTTTTTCTGTTTCTCTTGCTGTCTGCAGTTATGATTAATAGTCATCTTTGATGACATGTTAAAACTCAATGAAAGTGAATCATGGTTCTAATAGGGTTTTTTTTTACTCTTTTTTTTTTTTTTAAGCAAGCTCTTGGCTGTGATTGTATATTGCAGTCATGGCGCCTAAAAAGAAGAATGTCAAAAAGACGAAGTTGGATGTCAATGAGTTGACAATCATAGTGGAGGATGGACCCCTGGGCAAACTGAATGGCTTGAACGGCCTTTTGGAAGGAGGGAATGGTTTCAGTTGTGTCTCAGCAGAGGTTTCTGATGCTCTCTACAGTCCCAATCTCTTGGAAGGGCTATGCAGAATGAGGATGGAAAACTTTCTCTGTGATTTAGTCATTGGTACCAAAACAAAGACCTTTGATGTACACAAGGTGGTGATGGCCTCATGTAGTGATTACTTCCATAACATCTTAAAGAAAGATCCATCTACTCAACGAGTAGACCTCAATGATGTTTCTCCATTGGGCTTAGCTACAGTTATTGCATACGCCTACACTGGGAAGCTCACACTCTCACTGTACACTATAGGTAGCATTATCTCTACAGCCATTTATCTCCAAATCCATACCCTTGTAAAGATGTGCAGTGATTTTTTGATGCGAGAAATCAATGTGGAGAACTGTACATACATTGCCAACATTGCTGAGACCTATGGACTGAAGAACTCCAAGGAGGCGGCGCAGAAATTCATTAGGGACAACTTCATCGAATATTCTGAATCGGATCAGTTCTTAAAACTTAGTTTTGACCGGATCAATGAACTCCTTGCAGATGATGACTTGCAGTTGCCTTCTGAACTTGTTGCATTCCAAATTGCAATGAGATGGCTAGAATTTGACCAAAAACGAGCAAAATATGCTGCTGATCTCTTGAGCAACATTAGATTTGGTACCATCTCTGCCCAAGATCTAGTGAACTTTGTTCAAACTGTGCCAAGGATGATGGAAGATGCTGAATGTCATAGACTTCTAGTGGATGCCATGAACTATCACTTACTCCCCTATCACCAGAATACATTGCAATCTAGAAGAACAAGGATTCGTGGAGGATTACGAGTCCTGGTTACAGTTGGGGGACGCCCAGCTTTAACAGAGAAATCCCTTAGCAGAGACATCTTATACAGAGATCCTGACAATGGATGGAAGAGGCTTACTGAAATGCCAGCTAAAAGCTTCAACCAATGTGTCACTGTGATGGATGGATTCCTCTATGTGGCAGGTGGTGAAGACCAGAATGATGCCAGGAATCAGGCTAAGCATGCAGTCAGCAATTTCTGCAGGTAACTGATTATTTATAGGGGTGGAGAGCAGCTCCAAAAAGAGAGAGAGAGGAGGAACTTTTAAAAAAACCATGTGCCAAATGTCTCAGAGTAGAACTACACTTTCTTTGTAGTTCCTAATCATTTCCCCCAGTGGGGTTTATTTTTTGTAACAGAATGCAGCCATAGGGGCCTGTAGGAGAAGACCAGCATGGCAGGAAATGAGGTGTTTAACTCCTTCCCTTGTGCTTGGTGGATATGACCACCCCCACGTGCTTTTACCTGGTCTGAGTTAAGAAGAGTTCCCAGCAGAAGTAAAGCAGCTGGGGTCCTGGGAGTAGCAATTTTTTGCTGCAAAAAGTGTGTGAGGAAGAGTTAAATGGCCCCTTTCCTCCCCTCCTCACCACACAGGTCTCTTTCTTTAAACAGCAGCCCTGCCATCTACATCCTATTGTAAAAAATGTTAAGGAAACCATAAGACTACATGGAACATGTTATTCCTTGCCTTGTAGCAAAACAAGGCAAGAATGTTTCTAACTTCTATTGATGAAGGGAGATGTTGGAATTGGTGTAATATGTTGAAATGGTGTTAGGCTCAGTTTTGATCTGTTCCTCTTTTTTGTAATATAAAATTATAATTTTCAACCTATAATATAAAAGGGTATAACAGTTGTCCCTTGTTACAGAAACTCTCCAAATACTATATGAGATCAGAGGCATTGCATTATGACGCTGGCAGATGAGTAATGAAGCCTTTTTTTCTTTTGCTCTGACAGCAACATTTCTAATTTTAAAATAGCTCATAGAAATCAGTGTGCATTATCTTTCATGCACAGACAACACAACTTTCTTTTCTTTTCTCTTAGCCAACATCCACACTAAAACTAATGTGCTGAGATTTGGGCAACGTCAGATTATTACATGTTGAGCAATCAGTTTAAGTGACTCCACTCAATAAAACATTACTTTATTATTACTAGGTATGGGCACTGAACTGAAGTTCGTGACGGGTCTATTGTCACAAACTTCAACAGACTTTTAAGGCAGTTTGTGGTGGAACAGGCCTGTGTCAGCTGGCAGGCCCCACTCTGCCCACCCCTTCTTTGCCTGACCTGGCACCTGAAGGGGCAGTTTTTCTCCACCTCTGGGTATTGCTGCTACCACTGTTCCTGTCTTGGGCTCTAGTTAGGCGGGACAGCCTCCTAACCTCCCTCCGGTATTACTAGGAACCTGCCTCAGGGCTTCCTAGCAATCTTTGGGGCTCCCCTGGAGAGTTGGCAACTGACCATTTTGCCCCTGTTCTCCGTCTTAGGGAGTCCCTGACCCACCCCTAGCATGTCCAAGTGGCTGGGGAAACTACACAGTGCAGAGGGACTTCTCACCATCAACAGTTAAAGGATTTATTTGAAAACTCGTAACTATTTACAGGCATCTCCACAGTGAACTGAAGAATCAAAATAAAGGTGACAAAACTGCTCCATCTCTCCTTTCTCTACACTCATGCCCTGTCTAGATGGTCTGCAGGGCAGGCACATCACTTCATTTCATTGGAGAAAGTGGGATCAGCATGTCTCCCAAAATGGCCTCTGTCGCCTGCACACTCCGACTGACTGTCTGACTGGCTTCAGACTTCTGACAGACTGGCTTCCTGCCCAAAATTCCCCTATCTAAAAACAGCCGTTTCCCACCCAGGAACTGGCTCTCCCTCCTGCATCATTCTGGGGCAGATCTCCTCACCACCATGATGGACTTCCTGTCCTCTCTAGGGAGCTGCCCTCAGACTACTGGTTGGAGACAGGAGGGGAGGGGGGAATGAGGAGGAGACTAGGCCAAGGACTACCTCGAGTTTGATGGTCTCCTCCTATCCAGCCCACACCAACTTAAACACATCCATAAAATGGCGTTTCTCCACACAGTTCATGGGGTTCATGCCAGTTCATGGCCAGAGTAGAAAGCCACAAAAACAGCTAAGTGGCTCGGAGTGCTCCCCACCACTCGGCTGTTTCAGGCTTTCTTCTGCAAAAGAGAGCCGGGAAATGGGGAGCAGCCTGGCCAGGGTCGAGTCTTGGTGCTGCTTCAACAGGGGAAACCCCCATCCATTGCCCAGTGATGCAGGAGAGGCTGTGTGCTCCCCCATACTCCCCCGTCATCTCAGGATGCCCTTGACACCCAGAGCGCTCAGTAGGAACTCACCCAGGAGGCCAGAGGAGAACAAGAGACTGGTGGAGGAGGAGAGGCTTGTGGTGGAGAAGGGGCAGCCAGCTGAGGGGATTGGTGACAAGGCAGAGCAGATGGCCACAGTAAGCCACACAGTGGCAGCAGAGACATAGCTGCACAGTGGCTGGGCCCATTCCAGGAGCCCAGGGCAGGTATGGGGGCGGTGGCACTGGTTGGAAAGGAGGCCGCTCCAGTTTGGGGGACCACATGGGTTGGGCATTCTCTGTGGCCTGCCTGCTTCCTGCTGGGCCTAGCTTTAGCACCTCTGGAGGGCGCCCAACCCGTGTGGTCCTCCAGCTGGAGAGGCCTCCTTCCCTGTCAGCTCCACAGCCCCCAACCTGGGTTCTTGGAGTAGGCCCAGCCACTGAACTGCCACAGTGGCCTGTGGCCATGTCCCTGCTGCCACTGTGTGGCTCGCCACAGCCATTTCCTCCACCTTGCTGCTGCCCACCTCAGCTAACCTCTCCTTCTCTGCTGCCAGCCTCTCCTCCACCAGCCTCTTCTCCACTGGCCTCCTGGGTGAGTTCCCACTGGGAGGTCCAGGTGATGGGGGCATCCCCAGGCAATGGGGGGGGGAGAGTGGGTGAGTGCTCAGGCTCTCTTGGATCACTGGGCGACAGGTTCCCCTGCTTAAGGGGTACCCAGCCCTGACCCCAAACAGGCTGCTCCCCATTTTCTGGCTTTCCTGTGCAGTCTCTTTAAACTTTAAAGGGACTGCACAGGAAAGCCTAAGACAGCTGAATGGTGGGGAGCACTCCTGCTGCTCAGCTGTTTTTGCAGCTTTCTGAAAACCTTGTTTAAAGGGTCTGTGCCCCATTAAACAAGGTTTGCTTGGCCCACAAATCACAAACCAAAATGGTTCGTCAGAGAATGAACTGGTTCAGTTCATGGTTCGCATTTTTGTACTCTCATGGACAAAATACTGAAAATATAAACAGGAAAACTATTTTTGCATATATATATAAAGCCTTACCTTATTTATAGGACCCTCATATTGTGAAACCTTAAGCCTAGTTTTTTCCTAAATCTGACTCTGAATGGAGAATAGATCTGGACTGACTTCATGGTGGAGTGAATGTGTGATATCTCCATTAAGGGGTCCAGCATGGTGTAGTGGTTAACAGCGGCAGACTCTAATCTGGAGAAATGGGTTTGATTGCCCATTACTTCACATAAAGCTTGCTTGGTAACCTTGGGCCAGTCACAGTTCTCTCAGAACTCTCTCAGCCCCACCTATCTCACAAGGTGACTGTTGTGGGGAGAGGAAGGGAAGTCAATTGTAAGGCACTTTGAGACTCCTTAGGGAAGAGAAAAGTGGGGTATAAAAACCAACTCTTCTAAGCACAGCCAATGTACTACCCTGCTACTGTTGTAGATTAAAACAAGGATATGTACAGAACATAAAAGTGACAATTTCTCAGACGGCTGTTGATTCATTGACTATGATGGAGTAAAATATAAGCCCACAGTGGAAAATCTTGCATTGGGTATCAGGCTTCCCAAGTACTTACCGTGATTTGGAGGGGGATGAAGATGTCTTTGCAGGATCATTCCTGCGGGGACAACAGACGTGCCGCACCATGCCGTCGCCAGGAAGTGATGCCGGGCGACACTCTGGCAATGGGGCCAGAAACTCAATGGTACCATCGAGTTTTCAGCCCCATTGCCACAGTGTCACCCAGTGTCATTTCCTGGCAACGGCATGGTGTGTTACAAGGAGAAATGTTCCGACCGGGGAGCATGTGTCCCCCACCGGATTGCGGTAAGTACTTGGCAACCCTATTGGGTATATATATATATATAGGGAGGTTATCTTGTGCTCATTTCTCCTGGTGGCCAAAGTCAGTCCAGATTCTTTAGTTCCCTCCTACCTTTCTGTATCAACCTGGACCTGAAAACTGGCCCTTTCTGACTCATCTCTCCTATATTATAATCCTGTTTTGGGGTGGCAAGATTCCATGCTCTCCCTCAGCCATTGGCCCATCAGCTGCCACTCAAGAGTACTCGTGTGACATTGGCCAGGTGCTGGGTCTGCTCCTCTTCCCTGCCCACTCCCCCTTTAACCACTGCGCCCTGTCAGAATTACTGGCAAATGGCTTTCTCTCTTGACGAAGATGCTTTTCCTGTGTGGGACTAACTGTTCCCTCAGTGGCTGTTGGTAGGTGTCATGAAATGGCAGTTACCTGTGTTTGTAAGATGGCTGTGGTTCTTTGTTTAAAATGTTCCCCCATAAGGTTTAATTGAGCTGTAGTTCCAGAAAGGGGCCTGCAGGGGTATCACTTGCTGGGTTGAATGGGGCTTTCTCATCTGCTGGCCTACAGTTCCCAGCTGCCCCAAGGCCAAAAAATGTGGAAAAACAGGGACTGTCCCAAGGCAGTCTTCATCCCTGTGAGGCAGTAGAAATTCAGCCACTCTACAGTCGGCTGGACTGGGGAATGAATGGAAATTTCCCTGCTCTCTTGGGCAAGAGAAAGAGGCTGAAGTACAGGTGAGCCCACAACCTCCAGAAGTAGAGGCTATTCCAGAGGGGTCTCACTGTCCCTCTAAAAAGGCAGTGACGATTCCGTGAGTGGAGGCAGCAAACTTAAGGAGTGAGATACGCCCACGGGACAAGGGTGAGAGGCAAACAGCTGAGTTGTAAACTGGAGCCCGTTTCGCCATAGTAGGCAACCAAGCTTGGTTCAGACAAAGGAAGGAAACCCTTTGCAGGCCTTTGTGAGGAACTCATTGGGGCCAGTCCTGACTAGGGTTGCCAGATCCAGGTAGAGAGATTCCTGGAGCTTTTCTGGTAGAGTCTATGGAAG